TCTTCCATTTTGTCCTCACAACAACCCTGTGAAGTAGGTTGACAGCATGCCCAAGGTCACCCAGTGAGCTTCACGGCAGAGTGGGGATTCAAACCTGGGTCTCCCAGACCCTAGGATGAAACTCTAATCTCTAAGAAATAAATAAATAAATGCAATAACATGGCATAAAATGGGTTCAGGATTACAGAATTAACTTAAAACTATCCTTAGAAGGTTTCATAAGCATGCACTGCCAGCTATACCGTTTGAATCCTATCCTCTTTACTCATTCTAGTAAGCAGCTCAAACACAAGCAACATCTGTAGACTCACCACAGATAACTGGAACAGGAAAAAAAGGCATGCAAGCTTACATCAAGCCACAAGAGTGAAAAGAAAACAGGCAGATGTGAGCTTATGATAAACTTACATCAGATTCTAGTGCTGCACTTCTCTGGGGACTAGTGGAATCAGAGTTGGAAGGGGCCATCCAGGCCATCTTGTCCAACCTGCTCAGTGCAGGATCAGCCTAGAGCCTCCCTGACAAGTGTTTGTCCAGCCGCTGCTTAAGACTGCCAGTGACGGGGAGCTCACCACCTCCCAGGGCGGCTGATTCCACAGTTGCACAACTCTTACCGTAAAACGTTTTCCCTAATATCCAGCTGGTACCTTCCCACCCTTAATTTAAACCCATTGAGTCCTCTCCTCTGCTGCCAACAGGAACAGCTCCCTGCCCTCCTCTAAGTGACAGCCCTTCAAATACTTCAAGAGAGCAATCATGTCCCCTCTCCCCCATCTTCTCTTCTCCAGACTAAACATTCCCAAGTCCCTCCCTCAGCCTTTCCTCACAGGGCTTGGTCTCCAGGCCCCCAATCAACCCCCCCCCCTCACTCTCCTCTGCACCCGCTCCATTCTGTCCACATCCTTTTTGAAGTGAGGCCTACAGAACTGCACACAATACTCCAGGTGCGGCCTAACCGATGCAGTGTACAGTGGGACTTGCAATTTGGACATATTGTGATTTGGGTGTTATGCCCCAAGACTGCATTAGCCTCCTTTGTTGCCACATCACACTGGCTGCTAATATGTAACTTACAGTCTAACTGTACCCCAAGATCTTGTTCACACACACTGCTACTCAGAAGTGTATCCCCTATCCAGTACATGTGTGCCCCATTTTTGTTACCCAGATATAGAACTTGACACTTATCCTTGTTAAATTGCATCTTGTTCACATCTGCCCACTTTTCCAGCATGTTCAGATCTTGTCGAATTCTATATCTTCCATTGTGTTTGCTGCTCCTCCCAATTTGGTGTCATCTGCAAATTTAATGAGTAGGCCCTCCACACCCTCATCCAGGTCATTTATAAAAATATTGAAAAGTACCAGGCCCAGAACAGAGCCCCGTAGCACCCCACTGTACACCTCCCTCCATTCAGATGAAATGGCATTGACAACTACTGTTTGCAGTTCTCCAACCAGTTCCGGGTCCACTCAACTATCCTAGAGTCCAGTCCACAGTCCTCTAGTTTACCCATCAAAACATCATGGGGAACCTTGTCAAAAGCTTTACTGAAATCCAGTAGTAGTGATGATATGGGATGTAACCATGTCACCAAGTATTACCAGTATAATATTAAGGTAACAGCAATTACAGTACAAGGGTACTGGGACTAAATAGTATAGTTCTGACTCCTACATGGTGGTCCCAAGGGCAAGTTTAGTATTTCCCAAATAGTATTTCCAACAGCTCCCCCCCCCCTTATATTCATTAATGGCTATTTACCCCATTCATGGCTATTTACCCCGAGAGCCAGTTTGGTGTAGTGGTTAAGTGCGCGGACTCTAATCTGGGAGAACCGGGTTTGATTCCCCACTCCTCCATTTGCACCTGCTGACGTGACCTTGGGTCAGTCACAAGCTCTGGCACAGCTGTCCTTGAAAAAGAGCCGTTTGTGTCAGAGTTCTCTCAGCCCCACCCGCCTCACAGGGTGTCTGTTGTGGGGAGGGGAAGGGAAAGGAGTTTGTAAGCCGCTCTGAGACTCCAAGTGAAGGGCGGGGTATAAATCCAATCTCTTCTTCTTCTTCTATGGAGAAACAGAAGTGAAGAGAGCTCACAGATAGCCGCTGTATATTTCGCATTTTCCCTGACTGGTTCTTGTAGTACTATCACATGTATTCCATCCATCAATGACAATGACTTTGGGCTCCCTTGACCTGGCCCATCGTTAAATCCTGTCCTCCTGAACCATGAATGAAGACGTGGTTAGAAGTTGTGCTCAAAATTCTTTATACAAATGAACATACAAAAGTACACTAAATGCAACAAGTACACAACCAAAAGTGGAAGGTGTCCCTATGGGCAAGGTGAGATAAGATATGAGAATTCAACTGAGGAGCAACTGGCTAGTTATCACTGAGACCTACATGGGAAATATCATGTGTTTAAAGAGTACAGGCATGTGCATATCTTTCCCGTGTAATTATGTCATTAACATAAATCTACACCGTGGTGGACCTTCTGTACTTCTATGTCAGTTGTGAAATCTTCCAGTTCAAACACAAAAACATCTTCAGGAATTATAGAAGAGATTTA